ATAAGCTAACGAAATTTAAGAAACCTACTCGATGCTCTAACGTAAAGCTATAAAAGTATGCCCGCCTGCTGCTGAGAAGTCTATTTTGTATTTTGACCATAAATGTCATCTTGGTCTTATGTGTTGTTTAATGTTGCCCGTTAGTTTCATCATGATAATTTCAATGTTAATTTGTAATTGGAATTATGTTTCTGCGATGAAATTAGACGAAGTTCATTGGATTGGCTCCGTAGTACAACGAACGTACTATCGCAGTCATAACTTTGTGACGGAGGAATCGTTACTTATAATCGTTACGTCAATATAAAGCTAATTTGATAATCTAAATTTAATTTAATAATCATTTGCCGCTGTTCTGTTTGAACTTCAGATACCCAATCTATGGGCTTTTGAATGTGATAGAAACACTGCGAGGTAACTCGATCAAGACAATATATAAGCAGCAGCACGCTGAAAAAAGGGAAGAATAACTTCTTTTCTTCTAACGTCGAATTTCGACACTTTTTTATTTTGTAACAGAAAAAATTTACTCACACACACACAAATTGTGTTTTTTGTTATACAATGAGAGGACATTAAATTTTAATCCTGCCAAGACATTTTTACACTTTTATAGCTATGATACGTGATCCTGTGTCATCACTGAAACGAGAACGCAATTTCCCATCCAAAATCGTTTGAGTTATCGACGTAATTGAAGTACAGCGTTGTTTTAAATGTACGACTGGAATAGCGAATTCTTGCGTCAGGTTTGCTCCCAGGCTCACAAGTGTCCTGTATCCATATACTGTATAGCAGCGACCTTCCTACGGTCGTTTGTATGCTTCGTCTTGAGAAAAAAAATAGAATGAACCTAAGTTAAAAATTGTAATTAAACTGAGCGTTCATTTTCGGGCTTTCTTCTTCCGCTTGATCATCAAGTCTCTGTGGGGGCTCTCATTTTCCTTCTCTCTGAAGACCCAGCCGGGTGCTGTGTCGTCCACGGCGCCCCCGAGGGCAACGGCCCTCATTTTGGAGTTGGTGTAGAGGCGTAGGAGCGGTGCGCCCAGGGCGACACTCACGGCAAACAGCGCCGTCGACAACGCCGTGTTGGCGACCAAAGCTGCCCGCAAGCTCTGCACAATCTCTGCACAGCCACGAGTGTTGATAGTCAAGTAACGCTAACCGAATTGCTTGATTTGCTGCCGGAGGTGACGGGCCCAGCATTTCCTTCCCAGTTTGCGCGCGCAGCAACTCCATGGAACTTCGTCGCTTGTAACATCGACTTTACTGTGACCGAATTCGTGGATGCCATGCCATAGAAGGAGAAATTCTTCATCCATTTGTTGTATGTCAAACCAGTCCTGAAATGAAGCGGACCCACAGCACGACATTTCTTCTTGGAAATTGTTCACATGTAGATGGGCTTCATAATGGCTCCTGTATTAGTACATCTTCACCAAGAACTATTCAGTAACGTTGCCGTGTACTTCTAGGAGCTGTAAGCTGCTACCCAATTCCTACAAGAGCACAGTCGAGGCGACGGCACAGAGTTTGCATGCCAGCCAACGCTTGCCTGTTTTGCCTGCTCTCCTTGCGGTGCTTCGTCTCCTGTCGCTCAGCTCTGAGATCTGAACGAGCGAAAAAACCTAGGTGCTGACCGCGATAAAAACCGGGATGATCAAGAAGGCTGTCGCTACCGGCCAGTTTAAATCGAATAACTTGTGAATTTTGACAAACCACGGAAGGGCTTGAAAGATGACATTTATTATCCATAGCTGGGAGAGCAAACCGATGACATCTGTGAGCCAAAGTAACCAAGATATCCTACGACGGGCTTTACTTGTGAGTAGCATTTTTGTAGCAAATCCTATGTAGCAAGCTGGGTGCTGATGAGTAATGATCGCAAAATTTTCATCTGAAAGCCCAGCTGAATATTTTTTGCCGTAGCTGAGATACAAGAGATACAAGTCTCGGGAGTGGTAATGTATCCACAAAATATCGGTTTATGAATTGTTAATAAATAAATAAAAATCTTAATTTTACATTTTAGGAATAAATAATTTTAATAAATAAAGATCTTTTATCCGATTACAATTCTGTTAAAATTTGTCTTCTCGTAAAGACGAATCTAAAGATTACGTTCCTATGTCTATCATAGTTTTAATCCCCTAAATCAGAGCCATGATCATTACACGATTCAATTACCCTGACAACAATTATCGTAAAGGTTTACGTTCTCCAATTTTTAATTTGAACACTCAATCTACAATGGTTAGAAAAAAACAAGGGAAACACCTGAGAAATATACAAAATATATTTTAGTATGATGTAGGTCCACCTTTTGCGGCAATTACAGCCTCAATTCTCCGAGGTATTGCTTCATACAAATTGTGAATTGTTTACAAAGGAATTTTAACCCATTCTTCAGTTAGAACTCCCTCCAGCTCTTTTAAAGACGATGGCGGCGGGAATCGACTACTGATTTGCGTCTCTAAAATCGACCATAAATGCTCCATAATATTCAGGTCTAGTGATTGTGGTTGCCAAACGAGATGCTCAACTTCATTATTGTTCCTCGTGCCATTTTCCAATAATTCCAGCTGTGTGGATCTGGGCATTATCATCTTGAAGAATGGCGTTCCCCCCCCCCCCCCCACAAACAGTGCTTGAACCATTGGATGAACTTAGCCCTGTAAGATTTCTAAATAGTCGTGGCTGCTGATTCTTTATGAAGAGAAATCATTGGCCCGCCGGGTTTCCAAGAAATAGCACCCCAGATCATCACAGATCCCCCGCCATGTTGGGAGTAGGCAATCCCTAGCTATTAAATGACTTTTTGCTATCTCCAAACGTAAACTCGAAATCAGGTAAACTATGATTCGTCAGAGAAAATCACATTTTTCCACTGCTCGAGGGACCAATTCAGGAGGTTTTTACACCACTCTAAACGCTTTGAAGCATTTGTGTTTGAAACCAGAGTTTTTCTGATTGCAGCTCTACCATAGAATTCAGATCTGTTCAGCTCTCGGCGGACAGTCTTTATTGAAACTGGGTTCTGTATGTGTCCATTGAGGTCTGCAGTAATTTTAACAGCCGTGGTCTTTCGATTGTCCCCTACAATTTGATTTAGATACCGACGGTCTCTCCCAGACAAGTTCGACTTTCGGCCAGACCTGTGCTTTGCTGAGGACGTTTTCCTTCTCTTTCAAAGGCACTCACTACTTTTGTGACAGTACCTCTTGGAATGCCAAGCATTCGGGAAGTTTCTGTCACACTAGCACCTGCCATACGGGCACCAACAATTTGCACCTTTTAAAAGTCAGAGAGGTTTGCCACATATAGGTTGTAGGTGAAGTTATAGACACAAAAATTTACTAAAAATATCTGTGCAAGGATAAAATACCATTTAGCAGTGACAACAAAAAATAAAACATAAAAATATGTCTCGTGTTTTCATTGTTTATAACATGTTCAAAAATTACGACATCAAAATGTCAGGTATTTCTCATATTTTGTCCAACCCCTGTATTTGAGTTATTATTATTAGTATTACCATATTCATTTCACGTTTACATCCAGCGGCACATGATAAATATCACAGCCTCTGCTTGGATAACTTGCGCAGCGTGATATGGAGTGTGTCCACAGGCGCCTAACTTTTATTCTCTTCGATGAAACTTTGAAATTCCGCTTGATTTGAGACTTCGCTTCTTATTCCAGAGGTGTTGACTGTTGAATCGCCCCCTCTCTATGACGCTTATTTCAGGTGACAGGTCATCACTTTCGTACATGGGTCGGGGAATGATGTTTCTTCAAAATGTGTAGACCTCATCATTTATTATTGTACCGAAAAATCTAGTCAAATAGTTTGTTGAAGTATGGAATTCTTGAGAGTGTTGATGTCACACGTGTCAAGACTGATCGTAGGTATTACTAAAAGGGTGTTTCTAACTAATGCATTTATGATTGTGTCTCACTAATGCTAATGAGTGTGTCTCACTAATGCTAATGAGTGTGTCTCACTAATGCTAATGAGTGTGTCTCACTAATGACTAATGAGTGTGGCTCACTAATGATTAATGAGTGTGTTACGAAATGCTCAGTTATGTAACTAAAAAAAATCTCCCAGCACGCGCATCAGTCAAGGTTGCTTCTGGCGACAGCGCAGCTTTAGCATCACGGCGCAGTTCCGCCGCCTGCCGAGACTGCGTCGTCAGCAGAACACCGTGCAATATTTTTCGTCCGGATGGCCGGAAATAGCGGCAGAATTGAATGCCTTGCGTGCGATTGTCTCCTCCGCATCGTAAAGGCTTGGTCTCGCCTAGAAAAGTCCCCGCTGTTATTTAATTATTGATTTTGACATCCTGGCACGCGTCAAATTCCGGCGTCGATGCTAATGTTTTTATGAAATTTGCATATAAATCAATTAAGTAAAGTTGCGTCATTCAAGAGACACAGATTCTACCAATGATACCAAGCATTTTGCTGCTGGCGCCAACTATCGTAGCAGTGCAGCTGATACCACCAATGTAAGCATCACTGACGCCACTAGGTGTATTAGCACTACCACTAGGTGTATTAGCACCACCACTAGGTGTATTAGAACTACCACTAGGTGTATTAGCACAACCATGCACTACGTGTATTTGCACTACAACTAGATGCAACCATACAGATCGTGTCATCAAGTATCTTCAGAACTCCTACACTCAGAAAATTTATTGAGACTTTCTCCAAGTAGTGATGCACTTATGTTCTTGCGTGGGTCGTCCTGACTCAGTTCGGCCTGACAAAAGGTGTATCGGTGCTATATCCGCTCCTCTTCTTGAGCTGTAGACAAGAAAGTGTGTCAATATTTTGACAATAGGGCCCTTTGATTTTACTTAGCGTACCATCAAATGTACCTACACGATCCATGTCATCAAGTGTGTCAGCACGATCCATGTCATCAAATCTTTCTTGATGGCATTCATCTTCCATACTCGCTTGATGAGCGGTCGCACTATATACGCAGAAGCATGGCGAATGCAGCTTGCCACTTTAATTACCTCGCCTACCAACCGTCGACTGAGTGGAAATGGTGAACATTGATTCTGATGCTCAATCGACTTCTTTAGGAATGAATTACAAGCTGCTGCTGCTTGATGCTCATTTACTATCTTGATATTTGCGAAGATATGTAAACGAATTTTTCCCTGTGTATTTAAGACCTTAACGTATAATTTATTAATGCAAAAATTACGTTAAGCAATGATTGCATCAAGCAAACACTTTTCATTTTTATAATTAGTTCCTATATTTGTCCTCATGAACTGCTGGGATTTAGACCTACGTCTTAGCTCATGCCAAGTTCAGCAAAGCAAGCCAACTTTTTTAGGAATTTTTCAGTGCTTTAAGATGAGTTTTTGCGTGAGCAATCGTTTATTCGTTTGTTTTTCGATCGCAAATTTCTTATTTTGCAGCATATATTTGTGTTTTTTGTTAAGGAGCCCGAATCACGCATCTCATTATTGAATTAGTTTTCTCTATAATAATAATGATAATTTGTAATGAGCAAATAGATTTTATATATTCTTAACATGATCAAAACCATCAGTGTTCTCTTTACTCCTGTTTTGTGTTGCCAAGATCTAATATGCTTGCCTCTTCTTTTATTGCAGAAACAAGCAACTCGGCGTTTCCGAAAAAGCTGACGTCGACGTCTGCTTGTTTTCGCAGTCTCATCTCAAAAGAAGCTCTTTGCTGTCAACTGAGGACGCTTATCTCCTAAGCCCATTAAGCTTTCTTCTCCTCCTGAAAGACTACTCCATCCTGCGGCCTCTTAACCGTCTTCTGATTAAGGACTGCTCTTTCTTTCATCTCTTTCGTCACTCTCTCCTACTCGTTCATCTGCGTTCTTACTCACCCCATAGATGAAGCTTTCATATCTTGAAAATTACTTGCATTGATCCATGTAATTTTTTACGGACTTTTCCTAGTAATTTTCTCCACTTTGCATCATGTCTAGAGTTTAGCTGCATTTAATTAAGATTTAAGCTGAAATAATTAATCCTGAGACGACTTGAACGGCTCACTTGAGTCTTTGAAATATATTGGCGAAAACATAAAAACCAAACTCCATATACATATCCTTAAGATATAAATCTGAAATACAATTACATTACAAAATACTGATATACATATAACATTTTACACGAAACTGTCGGGGTCTTGGAGAGAACGCTTGCCGCGGCCTAGGTTCGGTGCCTAATTGTCGTATTCCCGCTTTGAATGTTTGCCACTGTGTAGCTCAAATGAATCAAAGTTATTTCTAAGCTATGTGTTCTAGTCTGATTTGATTGCCCTTGCTACTCGCTGTTAAGCTTTAAGATTATCTAGTGCGATCCCATGAATGTCTTCAATCTTTTTGTGTGCTGACCGACTCTAGCACTTACGCTTGAGAAAGAGTGGTTACTGCTACGAGCGCGCTCGCTACCAGCGTAGCAGTGGGTGCTCTCTGCACCGCCACCTCTTGTGTGCTTGAAGTGTGCATCCTTCGGTGTGCCCCTGCCCACCCTCGCTTGCGTCCTTGTCGTACGTTCCTTATTAACCCTCGCAAGGGCCGCTCAGCGAGCCCTACCCTTTTTTCTCCCCGACGTCCCCGAAAGCGTTCGCCATCTTTCACCCGTATTATTACGTGGACCCTCGGCCGCGGCCTAGACAGCGTTCACGACCCCGACACCGACACACAAAGACACACCCGCCACAGTCACGCTCGCCGCAACACTCCTCACCACAGCCGTCGCCGCCACACCATTCCTATCATTCACCTATACGCTCAAGCACTGCTAATTCCGTAGATACTTCAACGCAATCAAATCATCACCATCATCACCACCACCACCGTCACCATCATCATCGCCGTCACCGAGACTCTAGATCACCTTCTCACCATAAAGCGCGCCACCACCAGGTCGAAGAGGAGAACCACTATCACGAGCCGCAACGCATACCTCTTCACCGAGATCGCAATCGTCGACATCGTGGTCGAAGCCAAGAATTTCTCGACGAAGACGAAGACTCGCTTCACGAGCCGCACTGCACGCAGTACCAAAGAAGTCATTCACAACTGTCGCAGCATTACCAGCAGCCCAAGAATCTGCCCGAGAGAGAGTCAGACTCCGAAGATTCATTCCACGCCCCACATTGTCAACAGGGGCAGAAGTATAGGCGACCTCGACGGGTTCAAGTCCTGCAAAATCATCGCGAAGCGAACGATAGCGACTGCTCCTATCACAAGCCCGACTGTCCATTCCAGAAGCAAAATCAGTCTGCTCAGCAACAGAAACAGATTCAGCCAGAAGTTCCACCCCGCGCGCAGACACCTCTTTCTGCAACACCTCAGGAAGACAGCGATTCGTACCACGAACCCCACTGCTCCCACTATCAAAAGAAGCACCAGCAGCAGCAGAAACTTCAACCACCGCCAAAAAGTGACTCGCAACAGCCAGAACTAAATCAAGTCAGTGACGACGGCTCCTACCACGAGCCGCATTGCAGTCAATATCAGCAAAAGAGAGCTCAAAAACTCCAACAGCAACAAGCCAAGTCCGGTGAAGAGAGCGACAATTTTCGAAAGACTCATTCCCGGTTTCAGGATCACACTCGTTCACCGTCGCGTTCCGACTCGAAGGAAGAATGTGATGACAACGAATCTTTTCACGAGCCAAACTGTCCCTATCAGAGTCAACAAAGCTTACGGACAGTCACTTCCCCTTCGCCCGAAGACAAGGATTCTGATATTAAAGACAACGATTCGTATCACGAGCCCTACTGCAGCCAATACCAAGCTCACAAACAGGCCAAGCAGCAACAGCAAGCAAAAGCAACAACTGACGACTCCGAGGATCTGCAAGAACCCTCACCTTCCACACTTCAAAGTAAAGATTCAAGGCGTACTGACGTTGAGTCTGACGAATCATTCCACGAGCCGCACTGCAAGTACTCCTCCAATCAGTACATTAACTATCCCCTTCCAGTCCAGATTGAGAGACCAACAAGGGCTCCTCCAGTTCCACCTCAGTCTTCGCAAAACCAAACCTATGTCAACCAGGTTGAACCTTACTACCGGTTGACCGACGACAACCTTTACATCAATACTGTTGCTTTGGCTAACTCCCTTCTGCTTAACGAACTTGATCAGCAGCAGAAAAACCAGCGTCAGCAGCAGCAACAGCAAGGAGCCAAACACCCTCCAGAGACTCTTGTTGCAGCATTCGATCAGTCATCTGAGGGTTTATCACAGCCAAGTTCTTCACAACGCACCAGCCACCCTCCAGAGGTGCACCAAACATCTACTCGAGCAAAGCAGCATCGTTACGCTACTCACAAACCACGATCTCGTACTCGCTTCGCTCCAGCATCCGGACAGGAAACTCCTCCATCACCTGTTCACCAAACGCCTTCACCATCACCTAAAACACCATCACCACACTCACCCCAAAGTCCATCACAACGCTCTCTTTCTCCTGTTTCACCAGCATCCCCTCCTTCGCCGCCATCTCCTCCTAGGGCACCCACTCCTCCAACTCCCACATCCTTCTCGCTTCCATCTCATTCTCCGAATTTCTTCTTCTCTCAACCTCACTCGCCGACGTCTCGCTCGGAGTCAGTATCTCTTCCTCCTCTATCTCACTACATTCCCGCCTTTTCTCACCTGCTTCCTCTTTACACTGCCAACGGCACTCGTCATTCTGTTGGCGAACTCAACGACTATCACCATCTGTTACGGTGGCCGGGCGACCTTCTCCGCCACCAGGTCCTACCTCGATCTGCCGACTTTGCTCCTCATTTGGTGCGACAATTTCTTTTCCCGCCTCACCACTTAGAGGCGGCCGTGACTTCTTGCTACGCACATCCTTCGTATCACTGCGCTAGTCACATTACGATGGGGAACAAGCTATCTTGCTCTTGTGCTCCCCTCATGAAGAAAGCTGGGTATAGATATGAAGACAGTCCTTGGAATCCTGGCAAACGTAGAGACGGGCACCTACTCAGGTTAGTCTCAAACTCTTGACTTCACCGACAACTCAGCGTGTATAGATGGATAAGGTGTAAAGTTCTTCTGATCTTTTTACTGCTATCATTCAATAAATCGTCTCCCTTGATTTAATTATCTAGCTTTTTGGTTAATAAGCGTGATTGATAAGCTGGCCCTGTTTTTAATCACTATTTCTTACTGAACGTCGAAACTCAACTCAGATTAATATTTTTCTACAACTCGGCATACAAACGCCAAAACAATTTCAAAAACTTTGAATTTTCAAAAGTAAATTTGAGAACCTCTTGGTCAGAACTTTTATTTCTTCTTTCGAATTCTACTCTTACTTAAATTCAAAATTACCTACTTGAAGTTAGAGTTTCACGTGTTTGAATTATGCAGGTTGTGGGCCGAAGTGTTTCACGTATCCTCGAGTGGTGCCGGCACTGTCAAGTGGCAACAAGTGTCCGAGGATCTCGTACCTGTCAACATAACCTGTATTCAGGACACGCCTGAGTGTGTCTTCCACATCACGGCCTACAACTCACAAGTCGAGAAAATTCTTGATGTTCGACTTATTCAACCTGGTGAGAAACCTTCATTAAAAGTTATTCAACATTACCAAGATGAGACTTTGTGTTTGCATGTTTACATCTTTTTTCTTCATCTATTTATGGTATGCCCCACCAGCAATGCCTACGTCTACTTACCATACACACGTTCAAGCCCATGTAGAATTGCTGTGCGCAGTTATACTTGTTTTATACGATTTTTATTTCGTATATTTGGTCATAAATATCGGTTTAAAGGCACAATACCGGGATACCCTGTCATGATACTTATCATATCGGGACATTCCCTTGAGCAGAAATTTTATTCATAGTGTTTGAATCGTAAGGCGTTTCAGGACAGCTAAAGGGTGATTTTGGAAATCCAAATCTGCATTGCATCATGATGCGGTGTATTTATTCATGAATAAAAAAGTATGCTTTTCGAATATCAAACTGCGAGTTTAATTGGAGTTCTTCGCTATACGTTGGTTGGAACCGATCATTCTTTGTATAACGTTCCAAATTTTTGAAATATAAATTTTTTACTGTATTCGAAATGACAGGATGCGAAAGACCAGGATTTTCAAATTATCGAGATTATCAATTTTGGGAAGGCCGGGTCAACCTGGCCCTGCTGGCACTAATATATCTTATTAAAGTGACCCAGCACGATAAGAATCCTACAAACGCTACCGAACTGCCCTTAAACGTTTGTTCTGGTAGACTTCAAGCACCAAAACCCAATCACAACCTTGGCAAATATATCAGATATATATTATGCTAATGTGCCCTTAAATGTTTGTGCTGCCAGGTTTCAATCACCGAAACCCAATCACAACCTTGGCAAATATATCAGATATCTATTGTACTAATGATATAATATGTAGTGTGTATCACCATCATGATCACGTGTTCTTATGAAGTGATGTGTTGCAGGCACGCGTATCGGGCAGGCGTCGGAGTGCTTCGTCTACTGGAAGGATCCCGCCACCAATGACACCTGGGGCCTCAACTTCACCTCGCCCATCGACGCTAAGGCCTTCCGCGAGTGTTGCGTGAGTGTTGCGTGTCTGGCCTGAGTGTTGCGTGTCTGGCCTGAGTGTTGCGTGTCTGGCCTGAGTGTTGCGTGTCTGGCGTGAGTGTTGCGTGTCTGGCGTGAGTGTTGCGTGTCTGGCCTGAGTGTTGCGTGTCTGGCCTGAGTGTTGCGTGTTCAGGGCAGGTTAGCAGGCAGGGCAGGTTAGCAGGCAGGGCAGGTCAGCAGGCAGGGCAGGTTAGCAGGCAGGGCAGGTCAGCAGGCAGGGCAGGTCATCGGTCCTTTGGAAAGTCCGTGTAATTGTGAAATACCAGGCGGTGGCTGTTAAAATGCTGGTAAATAGTGAAGACTCAAGTGAATGAAATAATGTGGATACAAATGTATTATAATCGTGAGTGATATATTTGAGACAATATACCTGTGATGTAGCGAAGAGTGAGTCTGCAGCTATTCAAATTACGTGAAGTGGTGAAAATGGCATCTATGGTACTTTAATAACGTTATTTAATTCATATAGAGTTGACGGCTCCTGAAAAGTTAGGCAATAAAAATGGCAGAATTTTTGACTTGTGGAAACGTGAAATATTGAGTGAATTTCGTGGCAGCGGCTGTACTGCGTGAAGTGTTCCGTGGCAGCGGCTGTACTGCGTGAAGTGTTCCGTGGCAGCGTGTCTCTTATACACATCTAGATGTGTATAAGAGACAGTGTTGAGTGTGTTGCGTGAGTGTTGCGTGTCTGGCGTGAGTGTTGCGTGTCTGGCGTGAGTGTTGCGTGAGTGTTGAGTGTGTTGCGTGAGTGTTGCGTGTCTGGCGTGAGTGTTACGTGTCTGGCGTGAGTGTTGCGTGAGTGTTGAGTGTGTTGCGTGAGTGTTGCGTGTCTGGCGTGAGTGTTACGTGAGTGTTGCGTGAGTGTTGCGTGAGTGTCACGTGTATTGCGTGAATGTGATGCTGTGCAAGTATCGGTATGTGCGAGTGATGTGTTATATTAGTATTTTTTTGATACAGTAATTCGTATGTGTGTGCATTACCATGTTTTATAATTGTTGCAGTTGGTTGCGGTTTGTTATGTTGCTGGTGTATTGTGTAAATGTCTTTTTTTAGAAATTTGTGTTATCTAGGAAGCTCTGAGTGTGTGCATTGCTTGTTATGTCGAATGAATTCTATAATATAAATTTTACCATCATTAATGATGATTGTAAATTCCCTGCCGAATGACAATTATAATTTACATCTCTGCAAGCCTCTTTAGAGCCAAAGTTAGCTCTATTTCTTTGTTCTATGTGGCAGAAGCTGCACCACGCCGAAATAACTCACTTTTCGAACTTATATTTGCTGTTTCTTATTCCCTAGAACTTATTTCTCTCGGAAGTTTCGGCTCGAATTGACAAACAAATTTTAATCTTGAGGCTGAAGAAGCGTCTGCTGACTTTGCCTTTCTTGACTTCTCGAGTGGCAGAAGAAATCCAATAATTTCAGACTCGGTCCATTTGTTCTGAAAACTTAGTGCGAGTCCTCGTGTGCAAAGACAGACGCTCTCAAGAATAGCTTAAGTCTAGGATCGTGCGTAATTTACCTGCTATTCATCGATTCCGTCATTCATCAGTCACGCGTCAACCCATTCGTATCAATCGGCGTTCAGGAGGCCGTGTTCGCTGATATTGAAATTCAGGCGTCAATTATTCTGTCGAAGTAATTTTTTTATGCATCTAATTTTCTGTTTGAGATGTGCGCATGTTTTTAAATACTCAATAAATTGACAGTACGGTAATAAAATTTTTGACCGATTTATTTCACTGCATTAAAAAATTAGATTGTTTGATATTTCAGAATTATTATTTTACGAAGCAGTTATCGTGGAGTCTAGTTCAAACGAACTTCGAAGACACCATCAGGATGAACTGTCAAAAAATAGATGTACGAAATTGAAGACATAAGTATATGAATCTCTAAGTTAATGCATCACAAAACCAGTTTTGCAAAAACAGTTCATACAACTAAAATAAAAATGAAAATTTTGTTGTACTTTTTTTTCAGTGTGGATTTCTTGACAGGCCAGAGGATACAATTGTACTGAGAATTTATAATTTAGGCATTACTGTTTTGCGTCGATTGGTTATTTAAGTATTTTAGGTTTTGTTTCTTCTGCCTTGAAGAATAACTTGAAAATTTTTGCTACTTAAGTCACTAGCAAGATATTTATTGCCGTTCTTTTGTACGGTCTGAAAGTGTGCAAAGCTTCAATCTTGTTTGCGTTCCTGCTTATATATGGTGAATCCTACGTGAATTCATTTTTTTGTCTCACTTTGATGACAACAGTGATTTTTCGGCTTCACTTTTTAATCTATATACTTATTTGGAATTTCTAATACATTTCTACAATATTTGTTAGAATGTGCGAAAATAAATTATATTTTCAACGCCTGATTTTCGCGCAGTCGCCGTCGTTCAAGTTCTCGCGCAAGGCCTCGTCTTCGTACTCTCTGAAGCTGGACCACGGTCGAGGTGGTAACGCTACGCAGGCCGGCCAGACGAGCGGCAAGGGCGTTGCCAAAGGGCGACGTAAGCCCGTAAGCACACCCGCGTCGCCCTCGCGCTCAGGTCGAGAGCCGCAATGCACCTGCATGACAGCCGAGCAGTACGCCAGGCTGCGAGCGCAAGACCCCAGATTCCGAGGTGAATACGGAGCTTCGTTCACAGCATTTATGCCAAGTATATAAAAGTTGGTGCGGGTTCTGCCAGGGTGAGGTGTGGCGTGCGTGTGTAGTCTGTTTGGGGTAGCGCCTTAGGGTGTCGCCTGGTTGAGAATAATATACATTTAAAAATTACTTTTTAAAGACAACACTTCCAAAGAATCCAGTATCTCCAATCTTACAGATTTACAATGAATTTCTCATCTAATTTTCGAAAATTAAAAAAATTTACTTTTAAATTTTTTTAATATATATACTTTTTTCTATTATATAAATTTTTTTTTCAAAATTATTTATTCTGTTAATTGATTCATGCATTGCCTCTGATTTCACACAAGTGTGCAAAATTTCATATCAATTAGACACGTAAAAGTGTGTCAAATATCAGTTATAAGATTTGTAGCTGACAAAATTATTTTTTCAATTTTTTAATATTGAAAAAAAAATTTACTTTATAAAATCATTTATTTTGACATTTGATTCATGCATTGTCTCCAACTTTAAACAAGTATGCAAATTTTCAGATCAATAGGATAAGTAGAAGTGTGTTAAATTTCGATTTCAAGATTTGTAGCAGACAGACAGACAAACAGACAAACAAGAAGTAAATTTAAAGAGAAGTGTTGTAAAAAGAATGAGTGGCTACATCCTAATTTGCATTGATTGGTTATCTGTACTTGACCAATACATCCGAATTAAACGATTGCCATTGACGATATTGGTGCAGATTTGAACTCGATTTAGAGGAGAAATGGGGCAATGTCGTCCCATTCGCGATCAATTGTCACTTGACGGCATTGATTCGGGTTTGCATCTCTGTCTATGAGGTACCCATTGTAATTGCAATCATTGCAAGGAAACTAACAAAATTTGTGGAACATCTGGGGTTGACATGTGTGTTGCTCTTGTCTCTGTTTTCCCATCGTAACAGCTTACTCAATTATAACGGTGCTGACGTCCTTCGCTGTTGCAGGCGTGTCGACTCTGCCGCGGCCGACGCAGGGCCAAGGCAGGAGTGGTGAGGTCGAAGCCAGAACTGGTCAGGCCACTGCCACCGCCAACCATGGTGCGCAGTCGTCTCAGGTACAGCAACAGCAACAACAGCAATTGCAGCAGCATCAACAACAACAGCAGCAGCAGCAACAACAACAGCAACTATCACAACAGCAGCAATCTTCTATTTATGACACAGTTGCGTCGCGTCGTGGTGTCGTGGACAGTTACGGAGCTGGGCGAGGGCGCTCGGCCCTTCACTCGTCGCAGGTCTCCCTCCAGCAGCAGCAGCAGAAGGCCTCTTCCATGCCCCGTCGTGAGGTTGAGGCCATGAGAGGTGGCGCTGGTGGGGCTGCCGACAACAGGAGCCTCCGCGGCAGCCGGCGCGACATCGCCTCCAAGAGCGTCGACTACTCGGAGATGGACAACGCGCAGGACTCCGACACCCTGAGACGTCGCGCCCGCAGTCGCAGCACTGACGACGTCACTAAAGGTGAAATGAGAGTCAGCAGCGGCATTCTTAAGAAGATGTTAAAGCCTATTGACACCGAGCAAGAGGAACCCTGGATACGGGGCGGCAGTGGTGGCTGGCGGCAGTCGAGCGAAGCTTTTCTTTCATCTGAAGATCTTGCTGAGTCGCCCTCTTCTGAGCACCAGCTTTACGACGCTAACTGCTACGCCACGACGCCATCACCAAGTATGCTGGCCTCACAAACATACACGCGCGAGTCATTGTTATTATTATGATGTACTCCCTACCAGTGAGTTGTTGTTGTGCCCTCCTCTGCTGCCGCCCCGCCTCTTGTGTTCCCTTGTGCCCCCGAGTCTTGAGGGAACACCAGCATGCCCTGCCTGCATCAGCCTCGGGCAGCAGCGTGGTAAAAGTCAGTCATCCTCCACAATAAAAATCGAGATCCCATTCACTGCATTATAAAAAGGTTTTGTGCAGATTAAACATTACTCAGGTTAGTCAAAAAATGTTTTTAAATCCCTTTTCCTACCCTCATCCCTTGTGCGCTTTTACCACCTGTTGGAGCATGAACCGAGTTCTATAGTTGGTGGTAATCCCTTCTTTATGTTTTGGCTTACGACTTAGCTCTCAGGTACTCAAGTTTTGCTTGCGTTTGCATTTTTATTCTTCGATTAATCTTCGTTTTTTTTCCTCGTCTCTCATAAATATTCAGTCCTTGAAATTTTTTATTTTCTATTCGACTAATATAATGTAACTCATGCCAAGAAACTTCATGTATTTTCTTTCTGTTGGATATTTCTGACTTGGTATTTTATCTCGCGGCTGATCGCGCGGTATTTCACCTTTGCATCGACTGGCTGTGACATCTGAGCTGAAAACTTGAACTCTGTGGCAATTCAACCCATGGTGACCAAAGAGAGCCTCATAACAAACCATATCATCTAATGAATGTATAATATATATAAACGTTTGACTCTTATCCGGGTTGATAAATAAAAGATGTGCACACTACCTAGTGCAGTGCACAAAAATCTTTTATGAAAATTTCTGAATGCGTTTTTATGCTGGTTTTAAAAATTGATGTTGAACAGCGAATCACAACGAAAATTGTCTCAACCCAATTTCCTCTGATCATATTCTTTAAAAATGTAAAACCGGTGATTTTCCATTTATATTAATATTTATTGATTCATGATCATTATTTGACCAACCTAATTTATGTTTTTTTCAAAATGCATGAAGCAATTAGGCTATCCTTGTAATTCATTTACCAAGTTTTAGTTGGCTTTTTAAAACTCTTGATGTTCTTCACGTACGCAGTTATTTAACACCAGCATGAATTTGAATTCATTGAATTAAAAATGAGTTAATTTACGACTGAGTTCTTGTTGCCTTGTCGAGTTTCTCAGGAATGCGCTTTCAATGCTTTTATCACTTTAATATCACTTGATTACTTAGATCGCAAATTCACTAAAAATGTAAAAGCGAAAAAAAGTAGTGTAAATTTAGGCTTTAACCTCTGTATTTTTTATTTTGAATTTCGACTGTATTAAACTCTGATCATGTTTCATTTTAGATTTTTCGAACTGACGATTGAGGTGGAGTCCGAAACGTTTTCAATCGCGATATGGTGAATTTGTGTGAAGTTTTCTTCGCTTTTAAATTTATTGCATTTACTTAAAAATTTATAGCATTTACTTTAAAATTCATCGCTGCTTTTCTTCACTTTATGTTACCTAGCTTTTTTTCTTCCTTCAATAAGATCTATTTCGTGCCGTACTGTAAACGTTCGCCATGGCATGTCTCTTTCCTCCCATGATTCCTAATCTGCATGTTCGTCCTAAATAATTTACAAGCATTCAATTTACGAATGGCTTAGATTTCTATAATACCCATTGTTTTCCATTACTGGACATTTGCTTCGCTTCTCTTGTTTTTGGTGATGGCTGAACGTTCACTCGCTTTATTTTAACCTAATATATTCTTTATGAAAGTCACCACTGATCATTAGAGTTCTATGCTCCAGGTAACTCAGAAGGCGGAGGTGGCAGCGACTCTCAAGCACCTGCGGATGAGTCGCCGACGACGCAGCTGCTGCAGGAGTACGAAATGCACCTGCGCAACACGCTCGCAAAGGGCATGGATGCTGAGAGCTACAGCCTGCATACCTTTGAACAGCTCCTTACACAGAGCATGGAGAACCTCGGTGAGACCTGCGGCTTTACATATACTGTATATGAGACCTGCGTCTTTACGTATACTTTACGTATACTCTGGTCGTAACTTCTGGCTACTCGACATCTACAGGGCAGGTTTAACTTCAGTGATGAATGGCTTCGCAATTGTTTCTTATTATTTTGTCGGCTTTTGAATACAATTTCATAGCTTTGGTTTGATTATTTCTCTTGAATCGGAAATGAATATTTCTCTTGAATCGGAAATCAAATATTGACAAGAAATTTTTATTGAAAAACTCTGGAGACTATAACTAGGTACCGGTACTTTGCTGGCAAGTTACCTGTAAGAGTAACCTGTAGTGTTTAATAGACTTCTCGTATAAACTAATCAATTCTTCTCAAAGATAAAGAAATTTCCTATTAACCTCACTGGAGTTTTTCATTGACGGAAAAATTCGCAATGGTTTCATGTGTATGAAAAATGCATCCACTGAAAGTAAACTTATTTTTCAAAAAAATTTTCTTTTGCTATTTGGAAGATGTGTCTGGTGGTTATGAGTCTACTTCAAACTTGCAGCTCTTATGATTTGTAAATTATACTAAATTATAGTCGACGCTCCCTGGACTAGAATTAACTCATTAAATTCTTATTTCCTCCGTATGAATTTTATTTAAATCGTTCAACTATTCTTCTATGGCTCGAACACTTGATGAATAGATAAATATACTGTTTAAATGCAATCATCACAAATGTTTCTTAATCAATAGCATTGTACATTTGTAATAAACTTTTATTTTAACTAAAAGCTTGTTATGTAGATTCTTAAACGTATCAGAAACTCATATCTCACGTGTTATTTGTATCCACATGATGTTCATAGTAGCGTAGATTTCACTCTGTCCCTATCATTATCAACTCAACGACATATGTTTCGGTCGTGGTCCCGATGCTCAACATTTCACGTGCACATATTTGTTCTTTGTGCCTCTCTCCGTCCCACATTATTTTTGTTCAGTGTAACGGCTGTTTTTTGGGTCGCGCTCTGTTTTTAGACGGTAAATATTTTTCCCGCTCTGTAAATTTTTGTGTATGCAAGTGAGCATGCAAACGCTTTTATCGGTGCTAAAAAGAAGTCGTAATTTAGTTTTTATAATTGTTGGATAAAGACCAGTATTTTTTCGCTCTCAATTTTTGTCTGGGATCACTCGAAAGAACTAATATTCCGTCGATATACGCTTCTTCTCTTTTTTTTCTGACTGAGATTCCTTATCGAACCCGGTGGAAGTCTAGTAGCTTCTTCAAACTATCGCCAGTCATGAAAAGATCCGGTCAAATGACACGAGTTTAGATCTATGAACAAGGCACGAAATGGAAAAGAATCGGCGACAGGCCACATCAGGCCTACACTTCAGAGCCGACATCACTATGTTATGTTATGTTATGTTATGCTTTTCATCCGCGATTTCGGTTCCTGAACCTGAAGTCATCCGATGATTCCGTTTTTGCCTTCAGAGCTTTAAACGTCATTATTATCACTACTTTGTGTAAAATTCATGTTTTTTTTAATTATAACATGTGTAATTTCTTGTAAAAATCTAACAGTAAAGAATACTTTATTGGACCGATATCATACATGCCGGCTAGTACTCAATAAATAAAAAAAAAAAAAGTTTTGAGACGTGAAGTTTTTTTAAATTAGTTTTATATTTTGTTGTTTCACCTTTTGTTTTATTTATTCACAGCAGATCAAATTGTTCGTCTTGACAAAAAAGCTCATTCAAAATCAAAGTTTCACTGTGCTTCGAATTCCTCAAGCTCTCCTCATATTCCTGACACAATCCGACAAACGGCAACTCTGCCACCGACATTCCATGGATCAAGAAGAAAGTTCCAGGATCAAGACCGCTCTTTCCTTTTCGTTCCGGAAAGCTCCGCACTCACAGACCGACCTCAAAGGAGCTGTCACAATGGTGCGAAAAAGCATGAGACAAAAGAAGCAGCATGGCTTAAGCATAATATCTCGCTTACTTTGCCAGCTGTGCCCACAAGAAAGAACGTTAAGCCTCATCTTCCTTTTCACAACGCCTCGCAAAGTTCAACTCGCCACAGTGTCCCGAACCCTTCTTGTGTGAAGCCGTTGCACGAGCCCCTGCTCAATGCGCTGCCCACTCATATGTCCAGGGACGAACGCAAGCGCATACGAGAACAACTCCTCTGTGACATCGCCAGCAAGAACAACATATATAAAAGCAAGCATGGAGGCGGCTGCATAGTGCTCGATGTCGGCTCTAAAGTCAACGGATCGTCTTTTTTGAGTCTGTGGAGATCTGCAGATGATGTGAACACCGCTTCTACTGCACCTGCTGCAAAATTTTCGCTTTCGAGAGCAGTGCTTGGGGGTGAAACCATCAACGGTTATCACACACCTGAACAAAATGCAAAAACGTTCAACTTTAGTCGCCACGTCTTGTCGGGATGTCGAAGCGACTTGCACGGCAAAGCGAGAGGTAAAGTTGTACAGTTCTCGACTGTTGTTTCGGGAGTTAACGGCGTTCCGACTAACACTCGTTTTGATCTAACAATCGGAAGAAACGGCTTCTTAACACCGGTGAAATTCTAACGCACGCATCTCCTTTATTCTTGTTTATTTGTTTTTGGTTCATTCTAAACTAAACAATTAAATGTATAGACGATCGGTACGTCACCCGCCGGACTCGGTCTCGTCTCCTAATTTGGTAACTTATGGTAATGGCCCTGCTGTTCTGACTTGCAGAGCGCGCCGGAGCGATGCATTCATCTCTTTCGCTCCAACAACAAAAACAACAAATACACCAACACTACCAACAAAAACTGTTGCAACAGAAACAATTACAACTGCGCAAACAGCAACAACAACAACAGCAACAGCAGCAGTACCAACAACAATTCCAAGGACCTCACGTTAAAATCCATCCTCCCAGCGAGAGCGGCAAAAGTTAGTCTTAACTCCTAAGTTTTGCTTGCTGTTCACCCGATGAGTTCGGTGTTACCAAACACCACGCAGTCCCGTGTTGTTTCGAGTCATGAGAGTTTGTGTCGGTATCGTGTTGCGTTAAGCCATGTTCCTCATCCTCTTATGGCCGCTGCAGTCATATCACGATGCTTGGTTTCTCACCTCAATTCAAATTGTACTGACAATTTTTTACTTTTTGCGTACAATGCTTTCTTTGACAGAAGTTGACTACGACTGCGACGCTGGAACAACAATTTTTCGTTCCAGCCTGCATGCTACAAACCAACTTATATTCTCATTATTTTCTCATAGGAATTCCCTGCTGTAGTAATAAAACTCGGTAGTGCATGGCTACGTCGAAAAAGTGTGCTCGAGCCTCCAAACACCATACTCGTATTTTAATTTTAAACGTTATGTTTAAAACAATTTATTTGTTCTTTTCCTGCTTAGGCTGCAGGTTAGCACATTTATTTTCCATGTTATTGTCTCAAGTTTGATTTGTATTTCTTCACAACATATAAAACTTGTTTACTTTCCCATTGTATTGCCTGCTTTACATTCAGTTGGCGCATAATTTTATCCTTCTTACATTTTCAGTGTTGTAAAATTATATTATTCTTTTATTAACAATCAACACTACAGATAGTTTACTAATGCTTTGCTCTTTATCTGGACGCTAAAATTTCCTCTGAATTGTATTATATGATGAATAAATGAATGTGAATTTTATGTCAACTACCTTTCTAAAAAACTACTATCCCTGAAAACCCGTTAATTCTTCATTTGTGTTACGAAAGAGGGAAAATCTGTACCATCTATGCAGCGCTGCCCATTCTCAAATGATGCCATCTTAACTTGCTCGTCATACAAACTCATTCCAATAAAATTTCCATGCTTAGAGCAGACTATACAACCAGAGTATGGCCATCCGTCTTACTCATTTCAGACATCATAAACCTCTTTGCTTAACCCATATCTAATTTTATATCTTTGTACTCTTTCACGATCTGTTTTTTGCATCAGCACAGTTCTCGTAAGTTCTTGCTTCTTTCCTTCTGTTAAGCCTACTTGACTGGCTCCTTCCCTGTCCTTTTATAAGTGACTGTAAAAGTACCCTGAAGAAAGACAAAATTCCCCCCAAAACGCCTGCAAAATTACCCTAAATTCTCCTATGGTTGAATTTGTTCAACAAAAGAAGACGACTTTTCTAAGAGTACATATTCATTCTTCGTATTCCTTGTCCCGCATCCATTCCCATAATTTGTCTCTGGATTTTTACACCTAAATATTAAACTATCACAAGAATTTTCTCTCTTGTATAAAATATCGTTCTGTAACTTAATCATCGCTACCAGTATTAGTAAGTTCAATCTTCTCTGTATTATCCTTCTAATTTATTTTTTGCATGAGAAATTCGAACCCCCTTTAAACTGATTTTTCGTTTCTCTCCATGTTCCCCTGCATTGTATGTAAATCATTTGGAACGTTGTTAAAATTCAAATTGAATCTGAAACTTCAAATTTCGTTCAGTATTTCGTATAGATTTAAGTACCTACTTAACTTAACAAGGGTGTCGTAAGCTCATTCGGGCATTACCTTATGCCTTAAATTTTGGATTACAATTTTCCCTAATTTAATTTGACCTTATTCAGCTCCGATTCCGATCTGGACAGCAATAGTTTGCTAATGTCACGTGTAGAGTTTGCAGTAATTCGAACTCATCTTAATTAAATGAATCCGTTTGCGCGCAACTACCGAAATGCATGTGGTAGTATTCCGTGTCTGGTATCCATGCTACGTGGTGACAGCCGCTGCCATGCCTGACAGGGATGATCGAAGGCGGCCCCGGTGGGGTGGGTGGCGGGAAGGCAGTTGGCGGTGAACGCGGTGCCGACCGGCGGGATGAGCGGCCCGGTGAACACTCGGGCTACTTTAGCGACCGCAATGAATCTTTCGGCAGTCGCCGTGACCTTTACGATCGCGGCTACACCAGCGACCACGACCGCCGGTAAGTGGCTCACTTTTGCGGTGTGATCTCATTCATAGAGGTGTAGATGACTATCATGTGCAAAACTAGACTAAACTTTCAGTTCCTAATTGACAGTTTATGATCCTAAAGGAATTTTGTCTATGACTTTCAAACCGGGTCGATATATAGTCGATTTTGCAATATACTGGTATTATATATTAATGTATTGCAGTAAATTAAGCAAACTGGGAATGATTGTCCTAACTGCCCAGTTCTGCTGTGAACAGAAAAGGTTATCTTTCTTTCTGCAGATTTTACGACCGACAAGACAGCGTGCGTTCAGGGTACACTAGCGACCACGAGCGCGGCTACGCGAGCGACCGAGACTCCCGCGGGTACGTTAGCGATCGCGCCGGCGGGGCAATGACGGACAGAGAACGCGGGTACATGAGCGACCGTGAACGCGGCTACCTCAGTGACCGTGAACGCGGCGGCTACACGAACAACCGTGAACGCGGATACTTCAGTGACCGTGAACGCGGTTACATGAGTGATCGTGAACGCGGCTACATGAGTGACAGGGAACGTGGCTACATGAGTGATCGCGACTCACGGGGCTATGCCAGTGACCGTGAGCGTGGATACTACAGCGACCGTGAGCACACGGCGCTCATTGCTCAAGCGTCCATGGAGAGCACAGACTCACGTCTCTGCTATCTCACTTCGTCTGAGGTAAGAAGAATTCAGGCAGCCATTTGAACATCTTATTATTAGTGTTCTGTGCTACAGGTCTGGGCAGCGGGGCATTCCGCTCGAATGTTATCATAGCATCGCGACTATGTATTTAAATAAAAAAACTTGCATGTGTTCAAGATCTCATTCAAATTGTTTCAATTTCATTTTGAATTAAGTGCAGTAAACTTCCCTTTAATTCAGGGCTAGAAACTTGCCGCCCAGGCCTGGTCTGTATAAAAGGATTACTCTACTCTGTCGACCAGCCAGTTGAAGACAAAGAATATTTATTGGAATTAAGAGATAAAATTGCTCCTGAATTGACGGCCATTTTCTAACTTTATCGTGTTTAGTCACAACTCTATCTTGGCGAATTTACTTGCGTTATTTGTTTCTTTTAAATTCTTAGGGATTTCATTGTTTAGTGGAGCGAACTCATTTATTTCGCAAAATAAATTTCTTATTATTGTTACTTAGTGAGTTGTTGTTGTTACTTACTGTTGTTACTTACTTCCATCAACAGACCTTATCGATGTTTAGTGTCTTGTTTTCAGTATATCCAATAACGAATTAAAGATATAACAACTACAGTAATGACAACGCATTCTGGTCGACTGAATCTGGGATGGTATGAAATGAATAATGCTCTAAAGAGACTTCCGAATATCTCGGACAAACCACTTGTTCTACAAATAATTTTTTTTAAACTTCACAAGCAATTTTTGAAAATGAGATTTTATATTTTAATTTCTTGATTTTTAACTGCCCACTCGCATTTTTTTCTCATCATTCACAATAGAAAATTTTTTCACTTTCTTTTTGCTCACTTCCTTTTCCTCGGATTTTTTAGACAATTCAACTGAAGATGCCATAAAAAAAATGGCTTATGGCCAAGTCCATTATATTATTTTGAACTAGACTTCAAATTTATAGTCTCGTTATAGGTTTGAAATTTATTCTTTCCTCGCTACATCATTTGCATTTTGATTTAACAAATTTATCAGACAACACTATAATTTTATTGTATTCTAATTAATTTTTTTCTAGTGTTTTCTAGTGTAAAGATTGTACTTCTATCGTAATTAATATATTTTGTTTACTACGGGTATGTGTATGATGTCTTCATGAAACTTTTCATCCCATGTGCAGATCATCCTTCAACGTTGTGTGAATTTCCTAATCATTTTTATTCATAAGGTTCCGCAATTTGTAGAAACTATGTTGACTTGTGACTAGAAAGATTTCAATCGGAACACTTGTGACTGAAACTATAGCGGGACAATTAATGGAAATGAGCCGAAGAAACTGAAACAAAAAGCAAAAATAAATAAAAGGCAAAACAATTTATGAAAATTCACCATATTATAAATGTAAACTTTTCAGATGCCAGTTACAGAATCGGTTCAAAAATTGTAAATTGCAAGTTAGATTAGGTTATACGACTAAATTCGCACGCGAGAACTCAAAATCGAAGATGCCCTAAATATTAATTAGATTTTCGACGGGAAATATCCCTAAATATTATCCGCTTGAAATTGTTGCAGGCTAAGTTTTCATGATAATTTGCTTTCTACTGCTTTCTACTCGTCAATTTTGGTTTTGTTTTCTTCTGCGTAAATTTTAAAGCATAAACTATAATATTATCATTCAATTTTGAAGTGAAAAGGGAGCTGGTCTCCGAAACTTTTACCTTGAATGAATGGTGAATTTATGGGGCTTTTCAAAAAAATCTAAATAATGTGTCTTGGGATGTAGTCGAAATTGTTCTAATGTGTTTAAGTCTATAGAATACATTGATGATTTATGAATAGAACTCAATAGGTGTTCTATTTACTTCGTCGCATGCCTGTGCCTCGATAAAGTATAAGGATTTGTTATAAAAATATTCTAGAGACATCAATATCGAAGAACACACTTCACTCGTCCGGAGAAATACCTGTCTCATGAACCTGAACTGGGACCAATTATTTATACAATTTCTTCTGTTTTTAAAGATTCTGATTGAAGGTCATTTTATGTTGTTTTTCAGTATGTCTACTAAATGCTGGTTGTGTCAGTAACGCGCTCTGTGCTGCATTCTAGCTGTTGTCGCTGCTGCCACGCGCCTTATGATCTGGTGAAATGATTCGCCTCATTTGCGATCAGGATTGGAGTTAACCTTTCCATATTATATTTGATTTCGGATTTGTTCTATTATATTTCAAAAGACAAAATTTAATTAGTTTTATTTTCTGAGCTGAACTGTCTCATCTCTGACAAAATAAAATTCCACCATTAGTACTTCCATTCTGGTGTCTACTTTCCATCGCACTACACTGACTTCACTCTAGACTGCCAATTCGTGTTCTTATTGAAATTTGTTACGAGGTGCTTTTCATGATTCTTCTTACCCTGCCTGAAACTTTTATACTCGTCAGAGACGACCTATTAACGTTGGCCGTATTTCCTTCATAAAACTCCCATCATTTTTCTACTCCGATAAACGAACACAAAACGTAAGGATATATCAACCGTTGCAATTATGCAGAAAACTTTGATGCCAAATTCTTTAAACTTCATAGAACACGAATAGTGACATTAGTGAGTTTACAAAAGCCAAATGGAAATAATTTCTGTACTGGGTTTTCAATCGCCTAATTCACGCTGCGAATCAAAACGAGTTGTTGTGTCTAAATTGTGCTGCTCTTTCAACTCTTTGCAGTGAAGTTAAATACACTGCACTGTCAAATTTTATCTTGATAATAAAATGCGCTCAAGTTTGGAATTTTTTATATGTCTCGTATGAATTTATTTACGGGAGTGATGATCCCATACGATAATCCACTAATGTTCTGGCTTTGATCTGATCAATTATAATTTTAACTTTTAGCCGCAATTTTTAGTTATCGACCAAATGTTCTCAATGTAATGTTAGCCGATATTCAATTCTACAGTGTATATTTTGTGTGCTCATGTATATACTGATGTCTTTTCTGTAAACATGCAAGACATAATGGCGGTCTAGCGCATAACTCATCTGTATTCATTGCTTGATAAGCTACTCGGCGATCAGCGGCCGTTCGGAAAAGCTATAGGCTCTGTGGCAAATTTTTCTGGAGGTAGTTTAAAACTCGATTAGCATAGTTCCGGGCTGATTGTCGCACGGCGAAGAAAATTGTGACAATGTCTTCTTTACTATTGTAAGTAAATATTTTCCTTGATGTGTAGCATCAAACTATAATTATAGGCAATCAATGCGTTAATATATACCAAATTGTATTTTTGCAACGAGAAATTCAAATATCGTTTTCTTATCAATACAACTTCTTCACCTTTCTTAAAACGAAATTGCTGCGAATTTTCGTCGAAATTTCTTCACAAAGCTCTTTCAGTATTCTTGAAAAATAAGAATCGATTGAAGACTTTGCTGAAGGCGGACCAGTGGCCACACGAATGACGCCAACCCCTGAAGCAGCCGTAAAGCTTCAATTGCGTCACCGGCCTTGTATAACATTCCTCAAAAATGAAGTTCGTTGTGAGGGGTCGTGAATGTTGATCCAAAAAGAACGTTGTCAGCAATTCCAGGAATAGGCGTTTTTCTGGCTGGAAAATCTCGCTGTGTCAGTATTGTCTCCACAACTTGGTACTGTAAGCAGTTCAGCTCTTGCCTCTGAGGAACATTGCCGCTTTAATATGATCGCCTCTTTGGAAAGCTCTTCATTGAGTTTACGCATATTTGTGCGACGCTGCTCTCTAACTCAAAGATAACAATGATATCGATTCCAACTCACATTGATATCGATTCCAACTCACATTGATATCGATTCCAACTCACATTGATATCGATTCTAACTCACAGATAACAATGATATCGATACCTATTCGTTTGCTAATAGAGCTCACATGACGTTCATCACCCTAATGGTTATAGATCTTTGAAAAGCATTCATTTATATGTATCTGAATTTGTTACTCTTTCATTAGTCGCCTCCGCTTATCATGCGATTTACTTCGACGTGAGACCTACTCAAACAATTGATTATGCATTGGCAACTGCTCGCTTTTTCATTTTCTTGTTGTCTCTCTTGTCATTTTAGTATTTTATTTGTTTTTCTGACCTGGCTTGTAGGTTACGGTCGCGCGCAATTATTTATCATATTCCGCTTGTTTCGATAAAATTACAAGCAACAACGCTGTCTTATGTTATCCTCTCCATTATTTTCTCTGTTTTCCTTCCTTGTTGGTCTATGAGTCGTCCACATAAGTATAATCATTGTATTTTTACCTTAGTTCAACATGGCTGAATCTTTAATTTTAACTTGTTTGTTAGCGGCTAGGCTGGCCTAAGCCATGTGCAGAATAGCCAGGCTGTCTAAATAATCTCCGAGTCATTTGTTCACGTGAGAACTTGCGTGCTCTGCTGTGCTCTTCTCTCGAGAGGCGTCCGTCACTTTGTCTTCACTTGGTCAATGGGAACTCGTCTACAGGAATATTAACAGCGATGCCCGGCAAATATGAGCGTCGCAAGAATTGTTCCAAATGAAAAGCAATCGGAAATTTAAGTGCGAAATTTGAAAATTGAAATCAGAACATTAAAATTTATAGAGAAACATTGGAAGTCTGTATCGAGGGACAAGTAATAAATTGTTTCGTATTTGCCAGTGGATTGCCTAACTTAGTTGAGTTTGTTGCATATTTTCATCCTGGAAACTGTATTGCTAACGCAGTACTTCAGCACACAAACGGCGACGCAGTACCTCGGCACACAAACAGCGACGCAGTACCTTTGGATGGCCGTGCCACATGGATGGCCGTGCCACATGGATGGCACCGCCACATGGATGGCACCGCCACATGGATGGCACCGCCACATGGATGGCCGCGCCGCATGGATGGCACCGCCACATGGATGGCACCGCCACATGGATGGCACCGCCACATGGATGGCACCGCCACATGGATGGCATCGTCACATGGATGGCACCACCACATGGATGGCACCGCCACATGGATGGCCGCGCCGCATGGATGGCACCGCCACATGGATGGCAGCGCCGCATGGATGGCACCGCCGCATGGATGGCACCGCCACATGGGTGGCACCGCCACATGGATGGCACCGCCACATGGATGGCTGTGCCACCAGCACCATGGACGTCTCTCATACGAGCTCAAGCTGTTAAAGGGAACAATTTAGTCATGGCTCTGCACAGCTACACGCGTCACTCTTGCTGCCTACGCGAGTCGCTATTTTAAGCCGCTATTTTGCTGCTTTACTTAGTATAAAAGCGTTTTACAAGCTCCCACTGATTAGCTGGATCGAAAATTAAAACGTTAATGCGATTAATTTGCATCAGGGTGTGAATATTAGTTTTTATTGTTGCAGTTTGTTCATAATAACTGAGTTAAATATCGCTTTATTTTTCAACTTGGATTATAAGAGAAAAGTCTGTGCGACTCTCATGGATGTTGGATCTCACTTTAACTCGACCGCGCTCTTCCATTTCGCAAGCTCAGCAAGAATATCGACGTTATCGCTTTCGGTAATCGGCAAAAATTACGACTACATGTCACCCAGCGACGTAACTTAACGCGATGTAAATTATTCACATCAAATTTTATCGTTGTCTGAAATTTGGTGAAGGTTGCTGTAATTTAGCTAGGTTTCAAAGTTTTGTTTAACAGAACTTCGTATTCGCTAATGTCTTGGCTTTACTTATTCCAAGTCTCGAGTGTCTCGGATTGATTTGGTCAAGCAAACTGGTGAATAACAATTCTCTGTTCGAGACGTTTTGATTCCAGAGTTGCAAAATATTTTTCTAGTTTGACTTCATTTATTGTCGAAAATTGACGCTTCTTCCTATATTCTTCTCCTACATAGACTGTTGTAATAATCAGCAATAAATGTTCATTTCTATTTTAAAACGTTTCTGATCTATGCACTACTTTTTTTTTCTTAAGTGCATTTTACAAATGATCATTGTTGAAGGTTTGGAATCGTACATTTCGTTTTGGTTTGGGGAAGTACATTCTTTACAGATGCCATTTTCAATATGAAAATAATTTGTATTTCCCTCCGAAGTCTATTTATCTAATCAACCAAAACCAAAAACTAATAAAATGGTAATAACTAATTAATTAACTAATGAACTTTATTTAATGAATCGTAATCATTAAAACCTCGAATAAACTCGGGTGTTACACTCACCTCATTTCTTCCCAAAGCTTCCTATTATTAGGATACAACAGGTAGGGAGCCTTACTTTTCTCTCCCTATGCATTCATTCTTAGGTATCCACAATACAATAGCTGTCTTACTGTTATTATTATCATATTATGTAGCTTGTGCTACATGCACTCACCAATAGCATGGTTTGTATTGTCAATGATCCAATATTTCTTGACTAGGTCTTGAAATGTCATTTTGGCCACGTCTTGAAATGTCGACATTTCTTGACTAGGTCTTGAAATGTCATTTTGATCACGTCTTGAAATGTCGACATTTCTTGACTAGGTCTTGAAATGTCATTTTGATCACGTCTTGAAATGTCGACATTTCTTGACCAGGTCATGAAATGAACTTAGATCGTCTTGATAACTTGCATACACTTGCATTCCTTAACCAAATAATGAAAACATTGCGAGACTTCATCAAAATTGAGTTAAATGAAGTTTGCATTGAACTTGCGGCACCTTGCTTTCGCGTAATAATTTACGCAACCGTTATTGCAAGTTTATTTGCTATTTGGTTATATTATAATATACTATATTTCCTGATGTTATATTTTTTCGGCAATAATTATTATTTTTTAGCTCATTGTTTTAAGGAGTGAGAATTTTTATAATACAATCGTTTAAAGGCTTAAACTTTAAAGCTCATTAGAATACAAATAATAAATAATGTGTCGAGGATATTTTTGAAATGCGCTGCATGTGTTCGGGCAATGTTTCCTCGGTGTGTAGCCGTGCCATATTTGCATGGCAAATTTTTGGAATCGTGAATCAATTTTCTAACATAGCTTGGTTCGTTTTTTACGCTATCTTTGCCGTGACCTTTTTACTGTAGAATTTTTATCAACCTGCAGTGAGCATAGCATTCTTTCCCGCCTGCCTACTTGTTTGAATTTCCGTTCCATTTGTTCGTAGGACAAATGCAAGTTGATTTCGCTCATTAAATCATCATAATTAATTAAATGTTGGAAACATCGCAATTTTATTACATTTTTTCTTATTCTGAACCCCGCAGTTTTGTGCGTTTTTTATTTGTGTGTAATTAAATTAGCTTTAGATTGATCTTCATGCTTTATTCCGCCATGAAGACCACAAAGCTAACTAATTGTTACCGAGTGACATGTTCTTCTTTCGTTTACTCTCCCCTCGTATGCACCTACGCTCATTTTTAGCGCATTTTCTCATTTATAGAAAAAAAGGCGCTATTGTGCTCGTCATGTCCGTCCGTCCGTCCGTGACTTCACGGACGGACGGACGGACAAATGCGCTCTCTGTCACTCAATGCAGTGAGTACTGATGTATTTTTTTGCAAATTATGTCTGGAAGAGAATTCTCACCTGATAGTCTGTGCTCTATTACTCGATGATGCATTATAGGTTCATCGTTCTCTACCCAAGTGAATCGTCCTTATGCATTGCTGACAAGTTAGAATTTGTTCATAATATAATCTTCTATATAATTATTGCAAACATTCTAGGCTTAATTTCATAAAGTATCAAGGTTCATTTGGTCCCGCCATAAAGGCTTCTTCTATTCATTTTGAAGGAGCATCCGAAACGACCACTGCATGCCTCACTTGTTCAGTGCTGGCCAGGAGCCAGGTACTGGATTTGCGTTCTGGTTTTGCGGCTTCTGATGCGGCTCGACCTGCCTGCCAACGCATGATTTTATTTACGTTTTAAATTTTCTACGTTTACGTTTTAAATCTGGCAAATTACCTTTTAAATTTGGTTTACGTTTTGTCTTCTGTTTGAATGTTGTGAAAAATTGTCGGGTTGGAAACCGATGTAATATTGTGAAAATTGTGAAAAAGTTTGAAAATCTATTCGAAATATGTAGTTGTGTTTCAACTCCTGACATGAAAGACCTGAAAAATAATCAAAATCTAGAAACGTCATTACGGGGACAACTAATTGCAATTATCTTGTCGCTAGGCGTCATTATTCTTATAATCTTTTAATATTTTAATAAAAAACGCTTCCATTATAAGACGAGCTCAGCCCAATTTTTCTTATATTCAATAATGGGTAATGATGCATCTTACAAGCGGTAAAAAGACTAAAAACTTATGAAGCTTTGCAAGATCCGCATTCCTTCTTTTCTCGTGCTGAAAATATTTTCTTTTATCCCCGATTCTTTCAGCTCTGATCAGCTTATGGAGCTGACTCTTATTTCAAGAATTACGTCCTAAAGCCTGTGATGTTTTCAAATCATGCATTCACTACTATATTTTATTTTATTTCTTTTAAATTTGTGTTAGAACTTATTGTGCAGTTTCAATTTTTCACTCAACTTGTCGAAGTTATGTTCTGACCGATTATCTCTAAATTTGTAGTTTTGAGCATATAACATTAAATCCGCACCAGGAATTTCAATATAATGTTAATGAAACATTATTCGTGCGACTTCACTTTTGTTTATTAGCTCATGGTAAGTTCAAAATTTCTGCGCTATTCACTTGAAAGCATCGTCTCCCTCCGTATTCATCACATTTCTTTCTAAAATTAAGCATTTATCTAATTTATTACTTCGATTTCCATTTATACTGAATTTTATACCGATTTCATATTTTATCCACCCCTTTGTAGTTAGTTTATGCAACTTATTTGCATATACCAGCGAGTTTCGACACTGGCAGTGCAGGCTTTTATTATGCTTATGACGACAAGGTGCTGGTGTTTAATATAACTGCTCATTCGTTGTAAGTAGATGAGCCGCTCGAATAATTGATTAGTGAAATCGAATTATAGTTGGCCTATGCTGCCATAAACGGAGAAGTTGCTGGTCGCTGATGTACGGTTAGTTGTGCTTGTGTGTTTATTATGCTTTGTGGTGGGCGGTATAACAAGAGCGCTATTGGTGTAGGCTCGCTGCAATTTGCGATATGAGGTATAAAGTTGTGTTGTTGATGTCAGTACAATGAGCCGTTTGAAGAGCTAATTAGTGATATAGGATTAGCTGTTCAATCCTAACATAAATGAAGGGGTTGCTGGTCGCTGTGGCACGGTTTTAAGTGAGATAATTTGCCGCTGCGTTTGTTATGCTTTGTTGAACAGGATACCATGCAGGAGCGTTGTTGGTGTAGGCTTGCTGCAATTTGTGATATGAGGTATAAAGTTGCATCGTGGGCGGCCGCGGGATTTGCTGTGCAGCTTTACTAGATGTGGAATCCTTGTTTAGTTATTGTGCAAGGCGGGAGGAAACTCAGATCTTGTGTTTGTTGTATGTATATTCTAACATATCATAACTATCATTTATACGTATAACTTGTAATTCCTTTACCGCGATTGTTTTCGCGTCTACGGTATCTAATGTTATTTTCAATTAGATATTGTAGTTGTACGTAATTTAGTTTCCGGCTCGACGGACATTTAGAGCGGCGATCCAAAGTTTAAAATTAATACCGATTTAAATTACTTGTTCAGTGCAATGCCGTGCCACTTTTATTGCCAATAAAAGTAAATATTGTTACTGTAAATTGCCAGAGTTGAGTTACCCTTAATTTTTTGACGCACCGTAGCACCCGTCGACATAAATTTTTGTTGTTGCAGACGTGAACTGCAAAAATGCATGCTTGCCTTCAGAAGTTTTGCACTGAGCGTTAGTTTCTCTGCGATTTATGAGCCATAAAACGTGATGTTTTTTTGGTAATTAGAAGAAACTTTAATGCCACGGTATTAGCTAATAATACTAAAGCGGAATGTTATTCCAGAATTGCTTTGTCTTTCATTTCTGTCGGAATTGAGTTACCAGCTAGATAAATTGTGATGTTTTTTACAGTGTTTCCAAATATATTTTTAATACAGATAGATGCTGAATAAGTGCTGCTACCGATAAATGCTGTCCTGAAGAGGCTGAGATTGGTATTTTGCTTTAAAATTTTGGCCAGAAGCTAAACTAACAACTGTTGAATAACCCAGTTGTTCTCTGTTAATAAATTTCCATTTTGGTG